CCAAACAAGGTAAAAACTAAAGGAGTTCATCACCAAGCCAAAAATGTTAAATGGGATTATATAAGAAAAAGAAGATAAAAATAAGAACATTAAAATGGCTAAATGCATAATTATTAATAACTGAATCTAAAAAACAAACTAACCAAACAAGTAAAACAGGAACAGAATCATAGATATGGAGATCATATGGAGGATTATCAGCTGGGAGGAAGAAGGGGATAGTGGGGGAAAAGTTACAGGGACTAATAAATACAGATTGGTAAGTACACAAAAGATAGGGAGATGTTACCAACAGTATAGGAAATGGAATAGCCAAAGAGCTTTTATGCATGACCCACGGACATGAACTAAGTGGGTGAATTGCTGGAGGGAATGGGAGTACTGGGGGGAAGGGAGGAAAGGGGGGAAACCTGGGACACCCGTGTGTGTACACACACGCACACATACACACACACACACACACACAAATGAAATTAGAGGCCTGGGTGTGTCTACCCACCATCACCTGCTCAGTTAGGAATTTATGATCAGATACCCTGTGAGGTTACTTTCCAAAGAATCCCTTTTTGTGGTTCACACTGAAATAATTTTTCCCTGAAATTCACCTTTTTTTGTATTTTGGAAGTGTTTTGTACTAAGATCAACTGATCAAATACACTTTACATATATTGTTTAACATTGATATAAAAAAAAAGCGAATGAATCTTTTAAAGGCAAAAGACCCAGGGAGCAGGCCATGCAGACAGGAAATATCAAGTTTCCAAAGAGGAAACTCCCCACCATCCCCTTCGGCTGTCTGTGTCCAGGAACGATCGTAGGTGATAGGAGCAGCGATGTTATACAATATGTTCCAGGTGGTTACTCTCATGTAAAATATCCACAAACAATATATAACCTTTAAAAACCTGGCATTCATTGGCTGTGGGAAAATGACAATTAAAATTCTGCGTTTGTTTGAAATGCATCATTAAGGACAAACAGTTGACAACTATACTGTAACTGGAAGGGGAACAGAAGTTTGGGAATGCCTGCAAGTTCTGGAAATTTAGGGATTACCAGTCCTAGGAGGAGTCAGGCTGAGGGGACAGCGTCGTGGATTTGAGGCTCCGCTCCCCACGCACTGGAAAAACTCAGGAGAAAAGGGGTCCCCTGGCCTGAAAGGAGGGCCTGGGAACGCCGCCGGCCACAGCTCCTTCGAGGAACCAATCCCACAGAAGGAGTCACGACAGTCCCCCCCACCGCGATGGCTTTTCCGGGGGTCACTGCACCAACTGGGGTGACGCGGGGCGGCTGGCATAGGGCTGCCCAAAGAAACTCCAGGTCGGGGCCCCAACCACCACGCGCAGTGGCCGGACAGGACGCCGGGAGTCCCGGCTGCCGGCCCAGCCCCTGCGCTGCGAGCCGGAGGGGAGAGAGGGCGGAACCGCGGCCCGGGGAGGACGCAGACTCCGGAGGTGACCGCGGGAAGGCCGGGTCCGCCCTCAGGCCCTCGGCCTGTTCTGGGCCATCCCGTTCCTTAACACTCACCATTTCCCAGTCCCAGAAATCCCCCGCTGTCCTCCCAGCGGCTTCCGTGGCTGGTACCGGCCTCCCCGCGACGGAGACAGCGGGCGAGGAACCCGGCGTGTAGACGCAGGTGAAACCCCACCCGGAGGGGCCGGGAGCGAACGCGCGGTTCGCGGCGCGTCGCCCCGCCCACCCGGCGTGCGGCGCCTCTGATCAGTCTCCGGGAAGGGCCCGCCTCCCCGCTTTCTCAGGGGGACCCGCGGAACAGGTCGGAGGCCCCCGCAGAACCCGCTTCCGCTCCCGGGAGCGGGGGCGTCTGTCAAGGACCTTTGCTTTTTATCAAAAATTGTTTCTGGCCCGTTAAAGGAGTGGAGGTGTCCGCCTGTAGCTATTTCTCAATGCGGGACCAGGTATGCGTTGGAAATTCCAGACCTGAAACCAGAAAAGTCCGTGTTCCAGCTTCCTGTCACAACCAATAAGTAGAGACAGGAAATGACTCTTTAAGGGTGTTTAATTTTTTAAAAGATTTCATCCATCCATCCATCCATCCATCCATCCATTTCAGACAGAGGGGAAGGGAAGGAGAATGAGAAAATCAATGTGTGGTTGACTCTCCCACGTCCCCTACTGGGGACCCGGCCGGTAACCCAGGAACGTGCCCTGATGGGGAATCTAACTGAGGACCCTTTGGTTCGCAGCCCACACTCAATCCACTGAGCCACACCAGCCAGGGCAATGGGCGTTTTATTCAGATGGCGGAAGAGCAGAGAGGACGGTGGGTTATGTACCTCAAAAGACCATTTTACATTCTATTTCCAACCACCCCTGTTTATTAGGAGATGAAGAGCATAGGTAAGGGGTTTGGAATTCAGGGAAAGGTTAATCAGATAAAAGCTGCAGTCTGCCAATTTTCCTAGCATCCTTTAATCTGTTCATCTGTGGTTCTTTACCTGTGTCCTGGGTGGTGGACAGAAGTCCCTCCCTGAGCACAATAGCTCAGATACCACTTGATTGCTCACAGTGCTCCTAGGGCCCATTGCTGTGGTCTCCTGGAGTCAGGGTGGGTCATACCTTCAGTTTCTGAAACAATAGCTTTTTACATGCATTAATTACTAAGCTTATTAACTATTACTTAAAACTAAAATATTCCAATTCTTGAGTTCCTCCATCAGACTCATTTTCCGGCTAGAGGGATGCCCTTGTCCTGAGCAAGAGGGGCGTCCAGGCCAGGCCAGCCTGGGACCAGAGGGTCTGAGGTCCTCCCCAGGTTAGGGGTTGACATAAGATGCAAGGCCACTCCTGGAACTGTGATCCTTGTTTACGCACCCATTTACAAATGACCTTACCATATGTAATGAAGTCTGGCTTCATTTTGATCTTTGCTTAGAGTGTTGGGGCTTTCACCCCTTCCTTCTGCACCTCTGTACATGTGGTAGGTACTTGAATGAAAGCTGCCCATGGCAGGAAGTTTGAAACTCCCAGCCCTCCCTGGGCACAGGGACCCTTCCTTGGCCAACTCTAAGCTGAAATGTGTCCATTAAAATTCTCATTTCTTTTTGCTATTCTGTGTGGGTTTTGCTTCCTTATATTCTAAATTGTTGATTTAATTCTCAGCTTCATCTACTGTTGATTCCCTGTAAGTTGTTCTTCATTCCAGTCAGTGTATTCTTCCTATCCGACTGGTTCTTTTTTAAGGTTTCCATGTCCTTATGTATGCTGTTGAAATTCTAAGTTCAGGCACTCTTCCATTGTGTAAGTTCAATGAGTATCCTTATTACCAGTGTTCTGAACTGCATCTAGTGGATTGCTTCTCTCCACTTTGTTTAGTTCTTTTTTCAGGAGTTTTATTCTGTTCTTTCATTTGGGACATGTTTCTTGTCTCCTCATTTTGGAAGCCTCCCTGTGTTGGTTTCTGTGTATTAGGTAGAGCTGCGACATATCCTGGACTTGGTGGAGTGGCCTCATGTAGTAGGTGTCCTGTAGGGTCCATTAGGTCAGCCTCCCCTATTACCCAAGATGGGCATTCCAGGTGCACACCAGCCTCCTTTGTGTGCTGCATACACTCCTATTGTAGTTAAGCCTAGACTGCAGTTAGCAAGTCAATGGGAGATATTTACCCTCAGGCTGATCAGGCTGTGTCCCTTGATTCCAGAGGAAGTGGGAGGGAGGGAGCGAGGGAGAGAGGAGGAGAGAGGGAGAGAGAGAGAGAGAAACATGATTGGTTGCTTCAAAAATGTACCCCGAGAGGGGCTGAACATGCAACTAGGCATGTGCCCTGATCAGGAATCAAACCCATGACCTTTTGGTTTACAGGACAATGCTCCAACCGAGTTACACCAGCCAGAGCCTGCTGATTTTTATGGGAACTTCTCTTCCCAGCACTGGGCTTGGGAGCCTGGTGTGGGGCTGATACCCTTGCTCATTAGGTGGGACCACCAAAGCAGATATATCCTTCCCTATTTTTATTGACCACACCTGGGACCAGCTCTTTTAGCATCTCCACCCCCAAACCGGTGTCAATGAGGTTTCTTCTTTAAATCTCTAGTTGAGGACTTCTATTTGACTAGATTACAGGAGGTCCTAAACAATAGTTGCTTTGTACTGTAGTTCTAATACTAACATGATTTTAGGAGGATGTGAGTACAGTTTACCTATGCCACTGCCATCTTCATCAGAAGTCTCATTTCATTCACTTTTATGGCTAAATAATATTCCACTGTGCAGATAAAACACACTTTGCTTATCTATTCATTTGTAAATGGATATTTGGATTGTTTTTGCTTTTTGGCTATTATGAATACCACTGCAGTAAACATTGGTGTACAAGTTTTTTAGTGAACATGTATCTTCATTTCTCTTCGGCATACACCTATGGGTGAATTGTTGGGTCCTATGATAATTCTAAGTTCAAAGTTGAGGAACTGTCAGACTGTTTTCCAAAGTGGCTGCACCATTTTATATTTCTACCAGCAGTGTATGAATGTCCAGTGTCTACATATCCTCAACAAAATTTGGTATCTCACTTTTTGATTCATGAAGTGGTACCTCGCTGGGGTTTTGATTTACCTTTTCTTGATGACTAATGGTGTCCATCATCATTTCATATGCTCTCGGCCATTTGTACATCTTTGGAAAGTGTCCATTTATATCCTTCGACAATTTAAAATTATATATATGACACTTTATTATTGAAATGTAAGTGCTCTTTATTATTTTTGCCAACAGAACCATATTTATTTTACTACAAAGGTATCTAAAATATAACTTCAACTTAGTCATTTTCCCTGATTTTCATATACCTTAAATTATGGTTTAAGTTTCATTGATAGCTTGGGAGAAAATGCTCTATTTGATCTTTTTTCCTTCCCTCCTTTTTTCTTGTCTTACAAAATTTAATATACTGCATATATGCAGATGTTTTATATACAATGCTTAGTTCTATCAGATAATCATACCAAGGCAATCTTTCCCAAAACAGATTCAGGTAAAATAGATATTTCTGCAGTTCATGGACTATCAAAACTTGAGACTTCATTACTGATTTCAATTTTGAGGCCATACACAATATTCAAACTATACATAAAATAAGTGAAGGCCATAAAAGTGAAGCAAAAAATACCACAGAATTCAGGACTATTAAACTGTATTTTGCTTGCATCAGAGCCACAATGATGTATCTCATGGCTCTTTTACTTTAGTGCAAGGAGCTTCTGAAATCTACCTTAATTGCACAGCAGGTAGGCAAAGGTGTGCTGCTGAAGGCTTCATCAAAGGCTCATTTCTTCCCTGTTTTTCCTTTCTTGGGTTTTTGTTTCAGCTTGTAATTGGCCAGGGTGGCCTTGGTTGCATCTTCAGCCAGCAGAGAGCAGGAGGAGAGCATAGTTCCTTGGTGATATCTATTTCTTTCTTTTTTTTTAATCCTCACACAAGGATACATTTATTGATTTTAGAGAGAAAGAAAGGAGAGAGGAGAGAAAACTATCGATGTGAGAAACATTGATTGGTTGTCTTCCATATGCACCATGACTGGAACTGAACCAGCAACATTTTTTTGTGTGTGTGTAGGAGACAATGTTTCAACCAACTGAGCCACCTGGCCAGAGTGATGATCTGTGTTTTCGATGGTCAATGCTCCCTTCACCATCTTCCCTTGTCTTCCCTTTCACCCATTTAATGGCTGGCTAATGAACTGGAGGCAATTGCAGAACCTCAGTCAAGTGTTTTAAATCTGACATCCATGATCTTCCCCTTTTAATCCACTTGAATCTGTAATTTCATTACATCACCACATGCTGAAGCCCCCACCAATCCTGTTCCAGCATTTTTAGATGTCAAGACTCCACATTTCTAGGATATTCATAATGATCAACAACCTGTTTGTGATAGAGCTGGGCTGGAACTGGTAAAGCCCCCCAGGCTGGCAAGTGGGGGCTCAGGGCAACAAACTGCATGTACACTCAGCCCCCACCATCCTGTGGGACAGCGCCTGCAAGGCTGAGCACAAGACCAAGGGCAGGGCTCCTTCCTTCCTTCTTGCTTCTGCTTGTTCTCTTTTTAAAAATTAAACTGATTTTGGATGATATTGGTTAATAACAATATAAGCTTCACATGCACTATTCTATAATACATGATCTGTACCTTTGCATTGTGTGCTCACCACCCAGAGTTGAATCTTCTTCCATCACCATATATTTGACCCTCTTCTCTCTGTTCATCTTCCTCTCATCCTCCTTCCCCTCTGGTAACCACTATTCCATTGTGTCTATGAATTTGTCTGTTTTGTTTGTTCATTTGTTGCTTTTTGTTTTATATCCCATGTATGAGTGAAATCTTATGGTTCTTGTCCTTTTTAATCTTTTTTTTTTTTTTTGCTGAGCATGATACTCTGAAGATCCATTCATGTTGTCACAAATGTCATCTTTTCTTATGGCTGAGTAGTATTCCATTGTATATGTACCACATCTTCTTTACCCAGTTACGTCCATCAAAGGGCACTTAGGTTGTTTCCGCATCTTGTCCACTGTAAGGCTGTGATGAACATAGGGATCCATATATCTTTATAAATAAATGCTTTTAAATTTTTTTAGGTCAATACCCAGAAGAGGGATTGCTGGGTCATATCACAGCTCTAGTCTTAATTATTTATTTATTTACTTTCAATCACAGTTTACATTGTATATTATCTTATATTAGTTTCAGGTGTACAGCATAGTGGTTAGACAATCACATACTTTATGAAGTGTTCCTTCTGAATATTCCCAGTACCCACCTTGCACCATACATAGTTATTACAATATTATTGACTATATTTCCTATACTGTACTTTACATCCCTCTATTTTGTAATTAGCTCTTTTTTCATCCAGTCCCCCAATTCTCCCCCCTCTGTCTACCATCAGTTTGTTTTCTGTATCTGTGAGTCTATTTCTGTTTTGCTTATATTGTTATTTAGATTCCACTATAATTGAAATCATATGGTATGTCTTACTCTGATCAACTTATTTCACTTAGCATAATACCCTTTAGGTCCATCCATGCTATTCCAAATGGTAAGATTTCATTGTTTTTTTTTAAAGATTTATTTTTAGAGAGGGGAAGTGAGGGAGAGAAATATCAATGCGTGATTGCCTCTTGTGTGCCCACCCCACCCGGGGACTGGACCTGCAACCCAGGCATGTGCCCTGACTAGGAATTGAAGACCCTTTGATTCATAGGCTGGTGCTCAATCCACTGAGCCACACCAGCCAGGGCAGATTTTGTTCTTTTTCATGAAAAAGTAATATTCCATTGTATATATGTGCCATGGCTTTTTTTTTTTAATTCACTCATCTATTGATGGGCACTGGTTGCTTCCACATTTTGGCTATTGTAAATAATGCTGCGATAAATATAGGGGTATACATATTCTTTTGAATTAGTGTTTCTGGTTTCTGCAGATATATACCCAGAAGTGTAATTGCTGAATTGCTGGGTCATAAGGCAGTCTGTTTTTAATTTTTTGAGGAACCTCCATACTGCTTTACACAGTGGCTACACCAATCTGCATTCCACCAACAGTGCAAAAGGGTTCCCTCTTCTCCATATGGTCACCAGCACTTATTGATTTATTGATAGCCATTCTGACAGATGTGAAGTGATATGTCATTGTGGTTTTAATGTGCATTTCTCTGACTAGTGACATTGAGCATCTTTTCATATGTCTATTGGCCATCCAATAAAGCATGTTCTTAGCCTTGACTCCTCCCTGTTTGTCAGAGAATAAACCTGAAGGGTCTAGATGATGTCTGACCACTCTTTCACTATGCAAAGGCCTTGGCAAAGTAGTTTTCTTTGAGGGATAGCCTGTGTTACAGAGAACAGAATGCTTTGTGTGTGTATAAAAATATTTTCCCATTACTTGCAAGAAGCATGAGGCAATTTTCCCCCAAGATTCACTATTAGACAGGAACCCTGTTTGGGTTCCTGCCAAAAAATTCATGAACTGTGGGGAGCAGCCTAAAGACAGGCCCCGACTTTGAGTTTGTAAATTTTAAGCTAGTTTTTACTGTGTCAGCAATTCATCTACTATAGTTCACACATTCCTGGTGGTTGCTAACTCCATTGGCCTCTACTTTCAGTAAGTGTCAATTCTCCATAGTCTCCAGTCTCTCGTTTTGGGGTTGCCATATAACCTTAAACTTCTCACGAATCTAAGAAGAAATGTTGCTCTACATGTTTTTCAGTATTTTATTGTTGTGAGGATGAGAATGGGCACTCCAAGCTATTTACATGTTGGGACAGAAACTATTCATTCACTTGTGTTGTTCTTTATTTCCCTTATGACACTATGCCATTTTTAATGATTAATCCTGCAGCTTTGAAATCACCCTAGTGGGTGATTTCAAAATCACCTTGTGTGTGGTTTCAAAGGTTTTCTTTTGTAGCCACTGAATCTAAAAATATAATAGAATCTCTGCATTTTGAATTTTTCCCCCTCATCTTCTCGAAATTCCCCACAGTGGACAGCTATTTGTCACCTGAAAAAACTTTTCCATTGATTACCTTGTTTTATCATTGCCCTTCAAAAAGTATTTTATTAATTTTTAGAGATATCAGAAGGGAAGGGGGAAGAAAGGGAGAGAAACACTGATGTGTGAGAGATACTTCGATGGGTTGCCTCTGGCACACCCCCACCTGGGCGCCTGACCTGCAACCCAGGCATGTGGCCTGATGGGGAATTGAACCAGTGACCTTCTGGTTCACAGGTGCTTTATCCACTGAGCCTGAGCTATCATTGCCCTTTTTAAAAAAAAGATTTATTATTAGAGAGAGGGGAATGGTGGCAGAAAGAGAGGATGAGAAACATCAATGCAAGAGAGTTTAATTGGTTATCTCCTGTACACACCCTGACCGGGTATCAAACCAGCGACTCTTTCCTTTGCAGGATGATGCTCCACCAACTGGGCACATTGGTCAGGGCTATCATTGCTCTTTTGAGGGCTGGATTAACACCTTACTTAAAATAGGACCAAATGTCAAGGCTATGTCACCACATGCATGAAATGAAGAGAAAAATTATTACTCAGAGGTACCTTCTAAAAGGTAACTTCATTTAGGTGGCTTCCAAAAAGAAGAATGGGTTGGCCCTTTAAGATGTGTAGGATTAGAGGCTGGAAATATTCAAGGTTTGACTCTTTTACCTGCTCACTCAGAGAGAGACGTGTCAACATCATAGGTTTCCCTACGTGGGTTGGGCAGGGTGTGCAGGTTATCGACACTGATTAAAGATCAAATATCAAAAGTGAGCTCAGCACCTTTATTAAAGTTCTCTCCTGGGCTTTTTTTTTTTACTCCTGAGTTTGTTGACTGAACTGTGTCACATGTCCTCTGAATGAATTTGAACATAAGTTAAAAGGCATGTAAAAAGCACAAACAATGTATTATAACTAAACTGTCAAACCTGACAAAACCCTTTTGAGTCCAGTCATCCTCGGGTGTTGGAGAAATCCAGGAGAGTATGGTTCCAGAATGGTTCTAACTGCTTAGTAATGTGATTTTGTCTGTGTTGTGGTTTTGGTGGCACCTTCGCAGGGTAGCCCACCCACGTGTGGCCAGCAGCCGTTTTAGGGGAACACAACTCTCTCTGGTTGCTACTAAATACACCAAAGCCAAGATGTCATCAGCTACTGTAGGGTTTTCCGTCGAGGAAGCCATCTGAATCATTAGCTGTGATATGTATTTTTTTTAGTGTTTTTGATGTTACCACATTGGCATTAATGGGTTGCTTGTTGGATGATCACTTGTGCCCAGGTCAGCACCAGTGCCTCCCAGGACAATGACTGCATGAGTGTAATTGGTAGGAAGTCAGCCTATTTATAATGGACGGGTGGAGGGGTTTTGAAGAAATGGGCCGAAAATGAAGTAGATACACAGGGAATCCCAGGAGTGGGATGTAGGAGTTGTGGCTGGGACACACTGTTCCCGTAAACCAAAGATCATTGGTTTACTGGAGAGACCAGTAGGAGAGAGCGTTCTGACAGAAATGTCTGGTAAGCCTGATGATCACAACAGCAACAGGCCCTAAGGACTGAGCACTGAATCTAACTAATGCCTCACACAGCAGTAAGGTCCATTTAGAAGCAAGTTTCCTCCAAGCAATTAGGCCGACCTGTGAGAGTGGAAGAGGGTCATAAGAGAGATGCAAGGTCCATGGAATGTCTTCTTTTAAGAGCCCAGTGTTTTGTTTTAATTTCTAGAGTGTCTTTTGTTAAGTGCCTGCTTTTTCAGTATGATCACATATGATAGGACAAGTAATTTGTCTATGAGTTTCTACCATGGTGTGAGCATAGCAAGCAGAAGCAGATGGGGTGAGGGGCTACTAAAAACTATATTTGCTGTTAGCTGTAGGGACCCTTTCCATGGTATGGAAAGTATGTTGATTATATTACCAGTGGTGCATTTTCTCACATTAGGTGCCTTTGTCAGTCACTAAATGAGCCATGGCAGAAGAAAAAAGTTTCTTCAATTTTGCCTGGAACTTTAGGTAAGAGGCCTTTAAATGGCTTAGTATTATGTGGGCCCAAAGAACCAAGGTTAATAGCATCATATCTGAGGTGTCAGTACATGTGTCAGAAATCTGACTCAATTTATTTCCCTGAGCAATAAAATGAGCCTCTGCAGACTGAGGTTTAATGTGTGCAGATTTGACTTTACTTGGTTACTGTGAAGCAAGATATCCCCAGAGCCCTGGGCAGTGTGGTTCAGTTGGTTGGAGCATCGTCCCATAACTGAAAGGGTATGGGTTTGATTCCTGGTCAGGGCACATACCTAGGTTGCAGGTTTGATCTTTGATCCCCAATCCCTGGTACGGGCACATATGGGAGGCAACTGATTGACACCTCTCTCGCATCAATGTTTCTCTGACCCTCCCTTCCTCTCTTTCTGAAAGCAATGAAACATAAAAAATATTCCCAGAGTTTATGCCAAAGAAGTAACACTAGATAAGGAGTTGTTGCTATTGGTGGGATGAGACAGCTACATATTGGCAGAAGCCAAAGGAACTATAAAATTGTGTAAATGAGTTCAATTCTTGGCCAGGGAGTTCTTTAACCCTAACGTGATTGCCTGGAGTTTAACTAACAGATCTGCTGTTTGTGTTCAATCTTTGATCAGGGATGGCCTGTTTGAACTAGGGACAAAATACAGCATCTCTGCAGGGAGTCCATCAGGTGTGGTGGGAGCACACTGCCTATAAAATTTATAAATTTTCTCATCATTCATATGCTTGTAAGAGACTCCCAGAGTGGCCAATAAGTCTAGAAAAGTGACCTTGAGAACAGACTGCAGGAATGTGAAGGAAACATATTTCCCCCTGTAGATGAGATATACCAGGGGCATCATTTTCAGCTCTGTGCTGAAAGTACTAGCATCTCTTCAATGAGAACTCTAGTTAGAAAGCCTGAGGGTTCTGCATTCATGATCCAAGGCAAAATTGGTAGCAGGCAATGGAGCAGACCAACTCAGGGTCTGGGAGGAACTCCACGATAAAAAGATCTTGTCAGTTGTCAGTGTTGGCTGTTCTAACCATATGTAGCACGGGCAGAGGAAAACAGTCTTTGAATAAGAATGCCCTGGGTAATTTATGTCCACCACGGCTGGTCTGTAGAGTCTTGGACGCCTCTATAGTAAAAGGGTGTGGGGAGAAAGACTAATGGAGTGACTTATGTCAACAAATTCTAGAGCCATTTGTAAATGTTGTGGGATTAAGTAAGGAAGCAGATCTGATAAACATGTGACAGCTGTGGCTGAAGGGAATTAGCTCATTACCCATGTTCTGCCACTAACTGTCATTCTTCTAGTTCTCAGCCTCCTGCTGTTGCCCAGGAGAAATCAGTATGAAAACAGTAATTCACATAAAACTATCATATACTTGCACACTTGAAAAATGTACTACAATGGTTTCTTAGTGTGAAAGTAAAAAAAGGCTCCTATACCCACCATTCCCCAAAAGAAAGGTAGAATATACACATAATGGACTAAAGATATCTAGAAACTGTCACACAAAACCAGCAGGAAAATCCCTACAAAAACCAAACTTTGATTTTTCAGTGTCCCCTTAACACACAACAGACAGAACATTATCGAAAAATTAAACTGTATATTAGAAATACACTTCAATTCACCTATGACTCTAACAGGTTTCAAAATGAAAATATAAAATACTATTCACTGATTTAAAGAAGAAATACTACCTATAATCTTATATATTATTTATTGTTGAATGATGACTCACAGAATTATCTGAATATTCAGTTCTGAAAATAATTAGTAGAAATCCACAGTCCAACAAAGTACTTTAAGGAGGCTTGATAAACACAATATACTTACATTTATAATAACTTTTTCATGTCGAAAGTCTTCTAGAACATTACATGTGAATTTCTATCAAGCTTTGTTATGTTACATTCACATTTCTTTTTTTTTTCACATGTAGGAATGTGGATCAGATTTTCTTATGCTGTTTACATTCAAGAAGATGAATCCTGTGAGTCTTTTTATGCCTTCTGAAGGAACTGGGATAATTAAAGAATTTCCCACATTCTTTGCATTCATATGGTTTCTCTCCAGTGTGACTTCTTGTATGTACCTGGAAACCTAGCTGAGAAGAAAAAGCTTTACCGCATTGCTTACATTCATAGGGTTTCTCTCCAGTGTGACTTCTCTCATGTATTTTTAAGTAACTGTGATCTCTGAAGGCTTTACCACAGTATTTACATTCACAGGGTTTCTCTCCAGTGTGAGTCATTTCATGCCTGCGTAATGTACTGGGAAAATAAAATGCTAACCCACATTCCTTACATCGATAAGGTCTATTTACATCATGTACTCGCATGTGTGCTCGAACGCGTGATGGATAAATGAAGGCTTTCCCACATTCCTTACACTGATATGGTCTATTTCCAGCATGTATTTTCACATGTGACCGAAATCCGGATGGATTCCTGAAGGCTTTGCCACACTGCATACATTTGTAGGGTTTCTCTCCTGTGTGCAGTCTCTCATGTATCTTTAAGGCTTTGCTACTGCCTAGGGCTTTCCCACATTCCTTGCATTCATAGGATTTCTCTCCAGTATAAGTTCCTCCATGTAATTGTAAGTAATGGTAATAACCAAAAGCTGTACCACATTTACTTTCAGAGGCTTTCTCTCTCTTGTGATTTCTTTCATGTAATTGGAAACCTCGATGACAAATGAAACCTTTACCACATTGCTTACACTCATAGGGTTTCTCTTCCTTGTGATTTCTTCTTACGTGTATTTCAAAACCTTGATGAGAACTGAAAGCACTGCCACATTTCTTACATTCATAAGGCTTCTTTCCTTTGTGATATCTTTCGTGTACTTGGAAACCTCGACGAGAATTGAAAATTTTATCACATTGCTTACATTCATAGAGTTTCTCTCCTGTGTGAATCTTTTCATGTGCTTGAAAAGTATGAGGATATCTAAAGACTTTTCCACATTGTTTACACTGATAGGGATTTTCTCCTTGATGATATCTTTGATGTGCTTGGAAACCTCGTTGAGAATTGAAAGCTTTTCCACACTGCTTACATTTATAGGATTTCTCTCCTATGTGAGTCCTTTCATGTGATTGAAAAGCACGGTGATATCTAAAGACTTTCCCACATTGTTTACATTTATAAGGACCATATATATTGTGCATTGCCATGTGTCTTCGGAAACTTGTGAGCCACATGAAAGGTTTTCCGCATTCCTCACATTCATATTGTTTTTCTCCTGTGTGAATCCTTCCGTGTATTTGCAAAGTTGCATGAAAACGGAAGGCTTTCCCACATTCCTTGCAATGATAGGTCTTCTCTTCAGTGTGCATCCTTTGATGTATTTTAAATAAACTTGAGAAAATAAAAGCTTTCCCACAAATCTTACATTTATATGGCCTCTCTCCATATTTCAGATACTCATATGGTTTTTGTCCAGTGTGACACCTGATGTGCCAATTAAGGGAAAAATGATGTGTGAAGACTTTCCCGCATGTATTGCACTCATGTAGTTTTACTGCAGTGCTTTTCTTGTTCAGACTGAGATTTGAGATAAGGCTGCAATTTTCTCCACATTGACTATGCTCTTTACTTTCATAGAGTCTTTCTACCATTTGACTTCTGCAAAAAATGAGAAGCACATTATAAATAATTTTTTAAATAATATTTTTCAAAATATTTATTAGGGTTTTAGGACAAGTGTAAATTTCCTGCCTTATCTGAATTCTCTGAAGTTAAATATACTGAATGCTTTCCAGGAGGACTTTTCCCTTACAATTATCAAAACAGTGATATTCATATACAAAGCTTATTAATAAGTTTCCAAGTAAACTATTTTGCAAACACCAAATATTTATGTCACATATAAAGAAAGTATTTCTGGTAAAAATTCTTAAGACTAACCAAATTTGGCCCTCGCTGAGTGGCTCAGTTGGTTGGAGCATTGTCCTGTACACCAAAAGGTTGCGGGTTAGATCCGCGGTCAGGACACGTATTTCAGTGACAGTTTCAACCCCTGGTTGGGGTGTATATGGCAGGACTGAAGGATGATTCTCTCTCACATAGGTGTTTCTCTTTCTTCCCCTTCCTGTCACTTTAAAATCAGTAAGCATATGCTTGGATGAGGATTAAAGAAGAACAAAAAAAGAATAACTAAATCTGAAACAGGAGTTATTTATTTTGTTTCCTTTTAAAAAAAAATTCACACCAGGATTCTCTCATGAGACTGTACTTTCTGTTGTGACTGTCACTCACCTTAGTTCCCCCCCATGGTTTTTGTCCTGATCTTCAATGTCATGATCTTCCCATTTTTTGCCTAAAATGTAGACCCAGAAAAATGATTACAAATATTAAAAATTATTACAAAATTGTTAGATTCTATATTCATTGTTAGCTGTGACCATGCTTAATTTATTTACCAATGTCCTTTTCCATACTTCACAACATGGGAAAAAGATGATGAGCAAAGAATACTTGTTCTCTAATTGACCAAGTCAAGGAAAAGTTGTCATCCTTACCTACTGAGTCCAGGTTCTTGAAAGTTTCCTGCATCACATCTCTAAACAGTTTCTTCTGTGGCGGATCCAGTAAGGCCCACTCCTCCAGGGTAAAGTCCACAGTCACGTCTTCGATGGCCACAGCATCCTAAAACATACCAAGCATGCTTACAATAGGATGTGTGAGACTGACTGAACGTGACATGTGGACTCCACATATAGGAAGCTTATGAATGATTCTGTCATCTTCAAACACTTATGCTATGACTTGATCATCGGAAGCTTACTCTCTGTCCATACTTACTTTCTTATAAATTTAACAGCACAATGAACACAGGGAAATGATTTACACACTTTTACTGTGATCACATTACATCTCATTTTTCTCTAATGGCAGGGTACAGAGCATGCTAAGAAGTGACAGAAATGCTATACAAATAAAACAAATATTTTAAGACCATTGTGAGAAAAACTCTTTCATTTCCTTCCTCATTACCCATCATTTATAGTCCTACATAAGGCAGAGGGTCAAATCTGTATTAAAGTTTAATGAATAAAGAAAAGGAAGCCCTTCCATTTTCATCAGTAGAAATCCAGAATATAATGAGGTGCAGCTGGCCATTATCACCCCCTAAAGTATGCCAGGCCTCTAGAAGTAGCCAGACACAGCTGGCAAAATTGAAATATTTTTGAAAAAACATATTGTTTTTGCCTTGTATAATCTTTACCCCAGACTCAGTTCTGCTTTCTCAGTCCAATTTGATGGGCTAGAAAGTTAATGGGAACTTTGCGTTCGGACATTAGGAAAAAGGAACAACTGAGACTACAAAATCTCTATATTCATGTGACTCAGGGCTGCCTGGAGACAATTTTTGGCAGATATCGGCACACACAGTAAGAAATATGTCAGAAGTGCTTTTTAAAAAAATATTTTATTTTTTATTTATTTTTAGAGAGAGGAGAAAGGAGGGAGGGAGAAAGAAAGGGAGAGAAAGATCAATGCGTGGTTGCCTCTCTTGTGCCACCCACCAGGACCATGACCCACAACCCAGGCACAAGCCCTGACTGGGAATCAAACCAGCAACACTTTGGTTTGCAGGTCAGCACTCAATCCACAGAGCCACACCTGCCAGAGCCAGAAGTGCTCTATATGGCAGAAAAAGAACACCGCCCTGCACCTTCTTGACCTTGAGGATCAGACTGAAAGTTAACAACTGCAACTGTGTTAGGTGAAATCCACAAAGGTTTGAAGGCAAATCTGCCTGTGAGTATAACATACATGGATGGGAGGATTCAGCAGTGCTTTCCTCCAAAAGGACATAAGATCTCCATTTTTACTTTTGCAGGAGTACGTGTTTCCCAACTGGCCACCCTAGAGGTTGCACTCCCAAGGTCTCTAGTTCCCAAGCTCCCATGTGGAGCAAGGCAGCATGGTACCTCAAGCCCTGAGCATATGTCACATTCCTTGGGTGTTGACAGCACACATGGCCAAGAGTGTATGAAGGGCTTATTACTTCCACAACTGAGGTGAGACCTCTCCAGCAGTCATGAAATGTCTTGAGAGAGCAAGAAGAGATGCCTGAACTTTTTGTAAAGTTGAGGGTTGGGTTAGTTATGGTTCACATGCAAGATCAGGGCCTCAGAGGGCTGAATCTCCTGCCACCTTTAAAGGAAGGAGCACCAAGGCACTCATCACTTTGTGCAGATGTGGGTCAAAGGGGAATAAAGAGGGATGAGACTGAAAAGTTCTCATCTGTCAATCATCAGCTGAAGTCAGAGAACTCTGGTTTCTGATTGGATATTTCAGGAACTTGGAAGCCATCATTACTGACCTAACAGGAAAAACTTGAACAACTGAGATCCACCAGAGCACTGAGATCACAATCAAACCACTCTCTTCAAAATTGCCAAAGAGAAAAATAAAACAGCATTTTATGTTATACATATATTTATTGGTTTTAGAGAGAGGAAAGGGGAGTGAGAGAGAGAAACATCCATTAGTTGCCTCCTGCATGCTCCCCAATTGGGGATTGAATGGCAACCTTTTGGTTTATAAGACGGTACTCCAACCAACTGAGCCATCTGGCTAGTGCAAAATAGCATCTTAAAATATGCCCAAAATATTCTGTTTTTACCAAAGCCTGTAATGCAAAGACAAAAAGAACAAACATCACAAAACACAATACCCATGAACTACAGAGCAATTACCAAAGATTGAAACACATGTAATGGGGATACCTGAAGGAAAAGACAAAGGAACAGAACAAAATAGGTAAGTAGTAATCACTGAGCTTTTAAAATTAATCATAGTCAGCAGATTGTACAAGCAGCTCAGTGAACTAAACATGAATATTCAAACTAGAGATAAATCAAAGATGAAAATATATTGAGAAAAGCCAGAAGGGAAAACATACTTTAGGTATAGAGAAAAAAAGATTAGAATTGAATCAGACCTTGCATGGTCTTAGAAACCATGCAAGGAAGATGCAAGGAAGAAGAGAGTAGAGTAAAATGTTTAAAGTGTGAAAAAAAAACTTTCCTAGTTTGGAGAACCAAAAGTTGGTCCATTGAAACATTAATAAAATGATAAACATCTGGTCAAGATAATTGAGAAAAGAGAAAAGATAGAGATCACTAACAACAGAAGTAAAAGGGGAAATGAACAAGAAAAGGAGTTTAATACCACCCAAAATCCATTTATGATAATAATCTAGTAATAAAGGGAGAATTCTCTCTTCTTGAGAAAACATCACAATACCTATTGCTAATATCACACTTAATCATGAGAAACTGGATGCTTTTCTGGAAGATGGGGAGAAGGGCAAGGTTTCCTCTCACCAACTCCTCTCAACACTGTCCTGGGAGCCCTGGCCATGTAATAAGAAAAGGATATAAAAGATACACAGATTGGGAAGCAACAAACAAAAGTGTCTTTGTTCCATATGACATGACCTTTTAGGTAAAACAGCTGGAAAAACCTCACAATAACAGAGATGATGGCCGAAATAGCCAGGTGACTGATCTTTGACAAATAAGTAAATACAATTATAAGAAAAAAAAAGCCTTTTAAACAAACCAAGCTGGACATAATACACACACACACACACACACACACACACAGTGAATGTAGACATAGAACTTAAACTTTGCACAACGATTAACTCAAAATAGATCATATATCCAAATGTAAAATGCAAAAGTAAAAACAATTCCTAGAATGTCACATGAGAAAATTTAGTCCTGGCTGGTGTGGCTCAGTGGACTGAGTATTGGCCTGTGAACCAGAGGGTCACCAATTCGATCCCCAGTCAGGGCACATGCTTGGGTTGTAGGCCAGGGTCTCCTCTGGGGGGCACAGGAGAGCCACACATTGATGTTTCTCTCCTCTTTCCTCCTCCTTTCCCCTCTCCTAGAAAGAAAGAAATAAAATCTTAAAAAAAAAGAAAGAAAATCTAGGCAACCTTGTATTTAGTAATACATTTTTAGATATGAACTAAAATAAAGGACTTCCGCCAAGATGGAGGCATAGGTGGAGACGCTGTGCCTTCTCAAACAACCAAGTTTAGAGACAACAAAATTTTAGCAACAGAAAACACAGCCAAAACACAGAAAATTGAACTTTTTGGAAGTTTGATAACAATGAATTCTTCAGCTGGTAAGAGGGGTGAAGCCAGCAGCTGGCAGAGCAGGGTTGCACAGGAAAACTTGGGCAGGCTGACTCAGGCATGCGGATCCCAGGCGTAGGGTTGCAACAGACCGACCCAGTGAGCGAAGGGCGGACCCAGCAAGGGCGCAGGGCAGCAGGGCGCAGGGCAGCAGGCTGACCGCAGTCACACATTCGAGCACAGATAGACCAGCAGGGGAGTGAGCAGTGAGACGGACCGAGCAGGCCCCAGCAGCGGGAAGCAGCAGAGGGGTCCGCTATTGCACTGCTCTGACCCCACCCCCACATACCGGGTCACAACCCAGCGACCTGGGCGGCCCGCCCTGGTGAACATCTAAGGCTCCACTCCTCATACTTAATCGGCGCAAACAGACCAAAAATGGTTCAAGAAGATCTCAAAGCCCCAGAGCCCTTAATTCTAAGTGATGAAGAAATAGCAAAACTTTCAGATGCACAGTTCAAAACACTGGTGATCAGGATGCTCACAAAACTGGTTGATTTTAGTCACAAATGAGAGGAACATATGAAGGCTAAACTAATTGAAATGAATGGAATTGCACAGGAAACCAATAGTGATGGGAAGGAAACAGGGACTCAAATCAATGTCTTTTTTCTTCCTTCCTTCAGAAGGAAGAAAAAAAATGACAAAACAGAAAAGTATGAAGAAACAAGAATTCAAAAAAATGAGGAGAGGCTTAGGAACCTCCAGGACATCTTTAAACGCTCCAACATCAGAATTATAGGGGTACCAGAAGGGGGAAAGGAACAGCCACCAGTGGAAAACTTATTTGAACAAATAATAAAGAAGAACTTCCCCAATCTGGCAAAAGAAATAGACTTCTAGGAAATCCAGGAAGCTCAGAGAGTCCCAAAGAAGTTGCACCCAAGAAGGAACACACCAAGGCACATCATAATTACATTAGCCAAGATTAAAATGAAGGAGAGAATCCTAGAAGCAGCAAGAGATAAAGGGACAGTCACCTACAAACGACTTCCCATCAGACTGTCAGCAGATTTCTCAAAAGAGACCTTACAGGCAAGAAGGGGCTGGAAAGAGGTATTCCAAGTCGTGAAATCCAAAGACCTACAACCAAGATTGCTCTGTCCAGCAAAGCTTTCATTTAGAATGGAAGGACAGATAAAGTGCTTCTCAGATAAGATCAAATTCAAGGAGTTCATCTTCACCAAGCCCTTATTATATGAAACGTTTAAGGGACTTACCTAAGAAAAAGAAGATAAAAAAGATGAACAGTGAAAGGACAGCAAACTCACAGTTATTAACAATCACACCTAAAACAAAAGCAAACTAAAAGGACAGCTAGATCAGGAGCAGAAACATAGAAATGAAGATCTCACGGAGGGTTAGTAACAGGGGAGTGGGAGGAGGAGAAGGGGGGAGAAGGTACAGAAAATAAGTAGCATAGATGGTAGGCAGAAAATAGATAGGGGGAGAGCAAGAATAGTATGGGAAATATAGAATCTAAAGAACTTGAGACACATGGTCATAAACTAAAGGGGGGGAATGGTGGGGGCGGGGGGTGCAGGGTGGAGGGGAATGAAGGGGGGAATAGAACTGTAATGGCATAATCAATAAAATCAAATAAAATAAAAAAATAATTTTAAAAAAGGGAAAAAAGTTTCACTTCATTAATATGAAAAACTCTTGGGTGTGAAGAGTGTTGAATGAATGAAAAGACAAGTCACAGAATAGGAGAAAAATCTTTTGTAAAAAACTTATCCAATGAATGATGGGTATCCAAGATATTCAAAGAACTCTTAAAACTGAACAATAAGAATACAAAGAAGCCAATTAAAAATGGATAAAATACCCTGGCTGGGTAGCTCAGTTGGTTAGAGTGTGTCCAGATATGCGGAAGGATGAAGGTTCAATTCCTGGATCAGGGCACATTCAGAATCAACCAATGTATTCATAAATAAGTGGAGCAACAAATCAAGGCCTGTCTGTCTGTCTGTCTCTCCAATGAACAAATTTTAAAAAGTGGACAATTCACTAAAGAAAAATACAAGTGGGAAATAAGCAATATGAAAACATGGTGATTGCATTGGTGGATTACAAATAAAACAATGAGATATCACCACAGATTTATTTTCTGGTCTTATTCACATCGTCTCTCTCATTCAACTACATTATAAGAGCCCAAGTTCTAACGGAAACTAGAATCAAACAGCTGCAATATTCAAGGGAGAAAGGAATTTAATGGACCCCTTCTCAAAAATATGAGAATGAAAACAGGTAAGCAGCCAGCTTCTGTACATTTCAGAAGGAAACTCATACTCAGATAGGCGAACACAATTGCTAACTTGGGGTCTAGGTGCCCCTGATTGAGATAGAACCACTGGAGTGCGTCAGTCCCTGGGGAAGGAGGGGAGGGACACCTGAGCAGCCCCAGGAATAAACACAGGCGCTCCACACACCCTCTCCTCTCCTGCAAGCATGGAAGTGCCCCCTCCCCTGGGCTTCCATTGTCACAAGTGAGGCAACTCTCAGCTTGATATTGTTTAATGTTTTGACCTAAATGAACTCCCTAATTCATAAACTCCATTGTCCACCTGATCTTCATAGACTTCTCCATGTGCAAAAAATACGCCTTGAGTGCACCTAAACTGTTGTAGCAAAATTCAAACATAATTCTAAAAATGTGTAGACTTAAGAAACAACAACCTCAGAAAGGGTGTCACCCCCACTCCCCCTCTTGGGCATGTGCATTCCCAGCTTCCCAGGGCTGCAGCGTTCCTCAGTGTACCAGCCCCTTCCAGGGTGGGTGTGAGCAGGTGGGACACCTGCAAGGGGGAGGCTCCCCAGGAAGAATAACTGGGTCTTCAAGTACTTCCCTGTTCAGGCTCAACAGGGGCCTTAGTGTCACTGGCCGAGGGCCTCTGCTCCCCACTGAGAAGCCGGGTACCGCCCGGTTAATATGTGAATTACATAAACCGGACATTTGAACAATCCAGCAAAATCACTCAAACCCAGTAATAATGTGGAAGGTGGGAAGAAAATAGTAACTCACTTTTCTTAGTTAAACCAGAAAAGCCCAAGTATCTGTTCCGTTCTGGAGAAAAGGGTGTCAGTTAATTCTATTTCCATGGCGAGACATTGTTTTGTAATAATTAATCATACTTGAACGCTTAGACTCTGCTCTGCAAGTCTAAGCTCTGGAATTTCATTTGAAAGCACCAAAAAGTAAAGAACAGAGGTACCTCAGAAACTTCCTACACGCCGAAGGGAAGAATATAGTGAAATCAGAATTCTTAACAAATAAATTGGTAATACTGGATTTTTTCTGAACTTCATCACTCTCTTGCCTCTTTGAAACTATTTTATCCCATCTTTCAAGCTCTATTGATTAAATATATTTCACCCTCACCAAAAAAGGAAAACTTAAATCAGTAAATTTCATCAGGGTGTCACACCCAGGGAGAAGCAGTGCTAACAGGGTAGGTTACCCAGGAAAGATTTTAAAAGATCCTCTACCCAAAGGACTTCCCACAGGTTGTCTGTGCCCACGGAAGGTCCTGGGGGTGAGGAATGAGGATCTCCTCTCAGGCAAAATGTTCAGAGAAGAAAGTATGTCTTTAAGAAGTAGCCGTTCATAACTATGTGGATAAACAAGATAAATATTGGACTGTTTCAGATGCACCACGGATGACACTGTGGATCAGAGAAGGGACGTGCCATTTGGGAACAAGGAGAGGCATCTGGAAATTTAGGGATTTATCGCCAGCCCCAGGTAGAGCTTAGCCAGGGGAACTGGGTCGTGAATTTGATACCCTGCTCCCCCAATCTTTCGAAAACTCAGGAAAATACAAGTGTCGACAGGGAGAAAGCAGGAACTCAGGATGCCGCACACCACAGCTCCTCCCACTCACAAACTCGGGAGTCGGACTTACCGACTGTCCCCTTATGACCCTCGCCGCCGTCACCGCCCCATCTGGGAAGAAACGGGGCTGCGGGGGTAGAGCTGCCAAGGCAGCTCCTAGGCTGGGCCGAATTGGACACGAAGGGACCGGACAGGACGCCCGGGGTCTGGGCCCGCTGCCAGCCAGGTAAGATACAGGTACCGGCGGTGGCCTGGGACCCTGAGGTAGGCGGACTCGAACCTGACCGCTGGGAGGCCGGTCAACTAGGCAGGTTCCAGCGGTTTCGAACAGCCCCAGGTCTCCATCTCCGTACCCTGCCCTCATACTCACCATTTCTAGGTTTCCTGGGTCTCCCTGAGTCCCGTCTACGCCAGGTAGAGATCACAGCGCCACAGAGACTGCGGCAGGGCCACCGGGGACCGTTTACGGTAGCCGAGCAACGATGTGGACTAGAGCGTGGCCTGAAGGTCATAACGCCTGTACCGGCCGTCGCCCCACCCACCTATCCCAGGCAGGCCTTTGATTGGACAGTTTGTAAGTCCCTGCCCCCACGCGCCTGAGTGACAAGCACGGGGAGGACCTGTGGCTTTGCAGTACTAGCTCTGTCGGAGGCCCAGAATGTGTCTGTTCCCTCCCTCCCCATCCTGCGCCCCACCAACAGAAGCTTTTAAACAGAACTTGTTCCTGGCCTGGGGCTTATTCCTTTGTCTTTTCCACAGTTCGGTCGGAAGGCGTGGTCAGCGTTGCTAGCAGAATTCCTGATTCAGTTTCAAGATGGAGCAAGTACACACGAGGGTGGGGCAGGCCAGGCCACCCTCGAATAAGAGGGTCTGATATCTTGTAGAGGGTCCAGGATTTGGCGTAAGGCTGCGACCTCACGCATGGAACTGTGACCCTTGTTTAGAAACACAGACAATCTGGCCTCACCGTTTGTAACGGAGTCTGGCTCCATTTTAGTCTTGATCCTTGCAAGCCTCGAACTTCCCACCCATCCCTTTCCCAGCCATTCTCATTTGGCCCTTAAGAGAAAGAACCCTAGAGCTCTAGGCTCTGGTGGGAAGCTGGAACCCGGCTGGGACTCTTCTCAACCTAATCACAAGATGTGAGATGTGTTCATTACATTCTTAGATGTACGTTGGACACTAAAGGAAATTACTTTTAGGCCAGTTTTTCCCTGCGTCCCCAGAAAACTTCAAAATGTAAATGGATTTAATGTCTCTAACGTTTAATTCCTATTTTTACCGATATAAGCAAAGCTATTATAAATCATGTAATTTGGGGTTGCACTTGGAAACTTTCCCTCCCACTTTTACTGAGGTATAATTAACTAATAAAGTTATATTTCATGATTACACCATGATGATTTGATATACATATACTGCACTGTACACATTATAGAGCTGTCACTCTCAGTCTTCCCATTTTCCTCCCCCCATAACCTCCCCTGGACAATCACTAATTGTCTTCTGTCTCTACCGAGTTCCCTGTCAGGTTCTTTCATATGCAATCCATAAAAAACATATGGTCTTTGTGATTAACTTCACTCAGCATAATTTTTTCAAGGCACATCCCTGTTGTAGCATATGTCAATATTTCATTTGTTTTTATGGTCAAGGAATATTTCATTGGGTCAACTGTAAGTCAGTATTGACTAAGAGTTTCTATTACTGGCCCGTTGGGTTCTTTTGATCTCCTAGGATAGAAATCAAAAGAGATCATCTGAGACCAATATACAGTTTTGGCTGGGAATCAAACCAGGGTCTCCCGCATGGCAGGTGATAATTCTACCACCAAACAATCCTGGATTCTTAAGAAACGCCAAGATAGAAATTGAGAGAGTTCATCACAAGAATTAGGACTCAGGCAAAGGTTTATTGAATAGCTCGTACACCAAGGGACACAACACTGAAAGGGAAAAGGAGAAATATTGCTCTCTGACAAAAGCCAAGGAACAGTTGTGAGGAAGTTGAGGGGGGAAAAATGATGTCTGACTTTGACATTTAAGTATATAGACTTTGGGGGCCTTTGCAGTGGAACTAGGTGCTTCTCTTAGCTGGGCATATCTCATTAGCATCAGGGTTAAATCTTCATCAGGGTGTGTTTTTTAGCATTTAAATGAGAGAGGGTCACCAACACCCCCCCCCCCAAAAAAGTTTTTTTTGCTAGTGCCCATATGCATCTTGAAAGGCACAAAACAAACCTGTCGAAGTAAATCTTGCAGACAGCAGTATCCTTCAGTCTAGCAGTTAATTGGCTTTATAGCACAGGTGGCAAGCACAAGGCCCTCAGGCTGAATCCAGCCCTCTACCTTGTTTTATCCTGCTGGGCACCTTGTTTCTACCAGGGGGCAGAGCTGAGCTCTCACTTAACTATTAAGGAGTAGTTGCATTTCCACAGTCCTAAAATTACATTTGGCCCTTTGAAGGCAACCACCAGGCTGATGTGGCCCCTGGTCAAAGTGAGTCTGACACCCCTGCTATAGAGGGAAGACCTTAGGATTGATTAATGAATGAGTTTTTGGATTGCTGACAGCTGGCCCTAGGGAGTAGCCTGCCTATCTCATTTTGCCACCAAAAAGGATTTATTTGGGACGAAAGAAAAAAATGCAATGCAGTATAAGCAGACACGGAAAGCCATGTGCACGGCCTGCCCAGCATGCCAAGATGGAGAAGTATTTATAGAAAGGAAAAATGAAGTTAAGGGGAGAGGCAGTTACAGAGCTTTGCTGTAAGCAGAGTTATTTCTGGAGGGTTCTTGGGATGCCATAGAATGCAAGAACTCCTCCCATAAGCCCTAATGCCTCCCACAGATGCTCCTGACTGACCGTGTTCCTTTACAGTCTCATCCTAATCTTTATCATTCCTCCCTATTGATCAAGATCTTTCTCTGAAAGCCTCACTGACCAACAGGCAGGTCTTCCAACTTCAGCATCCTTTTGTCCCTTATTATCAGGAAGGACCTTTCCTAGGTGTTGTCTCTTGCATCAGATGGAAGGTATGGACCAGCAACAGCTTGTGTCCAAGGTTAACAAGCAACAGGTACAGAGTTTAATAATAAAAATTCAAAACAGAATTAGAACAACATAGTAAGCTTAGTTTATATGATGAATTTAAATCAGGAGCTCGAACCTGTAGGTAATAAAACAAAAATCATGATTATCTTGGATAGGTCAAAATTTTAAAAATACATTTTATTTACTTTTTGAGAGAGGGGAAGGAAGAAAGAGAGAGAGAGAAAAACTCTGACATGCGAGGTTCAGTTGCCTCCCACACCCTCCCAACTGGGGACCTATCCTGCAACCCAGGCATGTGCCCTGACTGGGAATCCAACCACAGGCCAGTGCTCAGTCCACTGAGCCACTCCAGCCAGGGCTAGATCAAAGTTCTTGATGACAAATTCAATAAGGAGAAAAATTCCCTCCTTTCAACAGAAGATTAGAAAATGTAAACAAGGCCATGTTCTTTCCAAGGAAAATTAAAAAATTAAGAATGAATAGTAAAGAAAAAGTTTTGTACAGGCCTGATTCAGTGTTTAGGGAAAGGTGTTTCCTTCAAAGGTCACCTGCTTTAAATTTTGACAGTTTCAGGTCACCAGAGTATGTGTGGTTCCAGCCAAGGTTCGGTGCCTTCTTTAGGTATGACATGTATCCAAGACTCTACTCCCTGGAGTTTAGCACTATTGGGTTTAGTCAAAAGTACCTAATAGGGGCCCTTCCAGTGAGACTCTAGGCATGGGCCCTGACAGGGAATCGAACCAGCAAACCCTTCAGTTTTGGGGATGACACCCAACCAACTGAGCCACACAAGTCAGGTCTAGAGGGAGTCTTTTTTTAAGCTATCTTTTTCAGTATACAAAATCTCTAGGTTGTAGGGTGTGAGTTTTGAGTTTTCATTTCCTTGGAGTACACTATAAAAAGATTTCATTTCTAAAGCATGATTATTTTTCATTGAAACAATTAAGCCTTTACAATATGTCCCCCTTTATCAGCTCTGGATCAAAAGAAGCAGGAGCCAAATGCACGGGGCATCCTGTAATAATCTCAAAAGGTGAGAGTTTATGAGTTCTAAAGGGGTGAGTCTGAGGGGTTTTTTACCTTTTTATTGACTTTATTGGGGTGACATTGGTTAATGAAATTATATAGGTTTCATGTGTACCGTTCTGTAACACGTCGTCTATATATTGTGTTCACCACCCCAAGTCAAGTCTCCCATCACCATGTATCCCCCCAGATGAGATTTAAAAGGACCAACAGCAATGCTTTTGGCCAAAGTATTTGAAGAGTTACTACAAATTTTGCCAATTGAATTTTAATAATGCCATTAGTGCATAGAACTACACTGGAGGGTTGAAGGTGGGAAAAGAAAGCACAGGGAAAATGTTGCAGAACTGGACAAATAGCACAGACTTGTTGCAGCATCTTATCTGCAAAACGTGTTCCTCAATCAGTGTGGAGTTTCCCAAGCAGAAATAATCTTCTCCAAATGGGACTTCAGCCACTGTAGACGCAGTGACTTGTCTACAGGGAAAGCTTCAGTCCGTGAGAAATCATATATGCCATGAATAAATATACTTATATCCATGAAATGAAGGAAGCTGTATCAAATCTATTTGCCAAGCCTCAGATGGTCTTTAGGCCATTTAAAGTGCACAGAGTTGCTTTTTGGACAGATGGGATAATTAAAGGTTGGTGCTTTTTGCAGCCTTGTTCATATCTCCCCACCAGTATTAATGAGGGCTGTCGTTTTGTTGGCGGGCTGTGGTTTAATGCATGTGCAGTAGTCGGGAGTGGAAATTTCAGTTTCAGGTAGGACCGGGTTGTTATTTGGTCTGAACCAAAGCTTTCTCTTTTTATCAAACCAGCAACTGTGGGATTTTCAATCTTGTTTTTCTTTCTCTGAAGCTGATTGTTGGGCTTCTCTGGCCAGTTTTTCTTTTCTTTTCAAATTTTATTTACTTATTTTTAGAGAGAGGGGACGGGAGGGAGGGAGACACAGAGAGAGAGAGAGAGAAACATTGATGGCTTGCCTCTGGTACAATGTGGTTTATTGCTCAGAGATCTGGGACAAACATCCACCCTAATCCTTTGGATTTTTCCCACAGGTAAAATGGGAATGTTTCGAGGGCTAGTGCAAGGGATAATAAGGCCCCAAGTTAGGTAATCTGCTGTTAGTGGCTTCATAGCTTGAAGGGCCTCTTTACTTATATGATATTAATTCTGGGAAGAGGTTTTAAAGGATCAGTGCTAATCTTAATAGGAGATGCTCTGTGGATTCTGCTAATGTTAATTAAAATTTTTTCCATAAAGAAGATGGCAGTTGATCCAACAGGAACAACCCATGACAGCGCTCCCATATTCAGCTGCTGAACCGTCATAAACAGAATAAAAGCTGCTGAAAGGCCATTTAATTCACCTGATTG